TTTGTCAGTTATTGTTATGGTGCTCGGCTGCTAAAGTCAACTTTTATAAAATTTCACTTTGATCGCACGTGTTTTGTTCATTTACCGATATCGCTATTCCGAATCGCTCCAGAGAATCGTACACGTTGAAACCGAAACGAAAGAAAGAAAAAAACATCAAAGTACACACCGAAACAAGAGTATGAGTAATTTATTGAGGCTAAGGACACAGTTTGCCTCTCATGAGGCGGAAATAGTGAAGGTTCAAGCTGCATGTCTAATTTAGTAGCCAGTAATTTACAAAGAAATAAAAAATATACGTACAATTAATATAAAATTTGAATGAAAATAAAAGAAATAATAATCAAATGCCGGAGCGTAGCTGGTACACGAATTATTCAACGGTAATACCACACCACTCAATTGAGCCGTAAATCTATTGGCTTCAAATATTTGCAAGAGGTCCATCTTGGAACAAGAACCGATTACCGGACGGGACTTACGAAAAACGCATCTTTCTATCACTCAGTAGTGACAGCGTGAATTCTGAGCCACAGTTTTTACGACGATTAGTCTTTGAAACCGTCATCGACCCGCTCTCCGGGGGTAAAACCTCGAGTCACCGAGTGCGCGAAATGAAAAAAAAAAAAACAAAAAAGAGTCTCTCGGAGAGTGACTTCTGATGGAATCAGAGTTAACAAGCGGGAGAAAGCTCCGCGGGACGGAAAAAACGCGGCCCCGGGAAACGGATGGCTCGATAAGTGAGGCCGGCCGAAAAGTAAAACGAGCATGGGATCTCTCGTGGCCAATAAACTCCGCGCACTTTACGGCGGACAGATTCGCGAGTGACGGATGTATATATGCTCGTTGTAAATTCGCCTCGGTGGCCGAAAAATGTACGCGCCCGTGGTTAAATTAGCGGAAAGAGAGAGGCTTGTTTTGCAACTCCATTGGGAAATATTTTGGAAATGTCCTTGAAACGGACCACGCAAAGTTTCACTCGGGTCTGTTCGTACACGTGCTCGGGTGAATAAATCACCCCCAAATTACTCGCACACTACATCTTACGCTGATGTCGCTGCACTGCTTTCTGTGACGCAACGCGAGATTATCGAGAATGTAGTACATGTATCTACGTCTATGGTAAATTTGCGCGACTTTATCGGGCGCAGGATTGTATGGATGTGAAAAACCGTAAAATCTCGGGCACCTCTAATGTATACCTCGTCGCGTGTAATACAACATACTTGACTCCTGTATGAGTACATTTGAAGCTCTCAATCAGTGAGCCTCATCTCGTGTGCGCGATAGTTCATCGCCGGCACGTATGTACATGTTTGTATATAATATACTCGCGCACACAATTTTTAATTCTTTTCGAAAGTGACCCCGATATCGCGAGTTGCTCGTCGCTGTATACCCAGCGTGATTCGATCGAAAGTCGAGAGGGACAAAAAAGAAAGTAAGAACCTTCGCGGGAGAGCAACGAAGCTTCAAGTATGCGTGTATTTTAGGCGTGTCCGTATAGGTGCACATGATAATACAGAGGTGTACTTGACGAATTACAATGAGCACGATGAAAGAGATGAACATCAGTTTCGACGCGTGCGTGCATAGGGGGCTAATATATATATATATATACTCGAGCACCCATTATACGGCAAAATGGTTATTGGATTATTTCAAACTTGGATGCTCTACTTTTCCGGGTATGGGTGCAGTGTAGAGGCCGTTTCTAGTTTAAAAGATAATCTCGGGGTTATAGTACTGTAAGCCGGTGCCATTCTGTTGTTTAGGGACTTTTTCCTTTTTAGTTACTCTTTTTTACTGTACTAAAACAGTGATGTTTCTTGTGTATGCAGTACATGAAAATCGTTCAACTGAGGATGAAAATTATTCTTCTCAAAGAGAAAAAACTGGCGTTCGTGTGATATATGAGTACCCCCAATTTACAAAGTTGACGCGGTACTATTCGTAATTTTGGTTCTCTTCGCGCAAATAACTGTGATCCTGGAAGAAAGCTTCATAAATTACCAAATGGTGATCACACAAGTCGGCAAAAAAGTGTACTTAGTGCTTTTCAAAAAATCCGCGCGCGAATGTGACGTCACATGCCATGTCCGCTAAATTAGGTTCATTCCGTAATTTACAGTCACATTGCTTGACTCGACAAAAAAACACAACGCATTGCTGTAGGTGTACAGTCTACGTGCCAAAGCTCCCTACAGACAGAAAATTTTCATTTCACTCACGCAGCTTCCATATCTCACTCCCCTTTGCGCGTGCATATATTTTCCCGCTGCACGCGCTCCGTTTAATTTCGAAGAAAAAAAGGAAAGAAAGAAATCTCCAGAGATCCCCGCTCCGTGCGCAATAAACCACCAAAGTAACGCGCAACGCAGGCAGACAGGTGGAGGAGAAAAGACGACGTCCGATGAGGCTACCTCATGTCCGCGGCCGCGTCGAGAGCGAAAGAGCGAATTTTTGCGAATCGGCTCTGATTCACTCGGCGAGCCGCGCTCGAATCATCGGCCCAAGGAACCCATGCCTGCACATATTTATTCATACGAGCGGCTTTGGGTGAGCCACTCGTGACGCGAATTTTCGTGCCCGCGCTTTTCGCGGAACGCACGGCTCGAGTTATGATCCTGAAACAAACGTACGCCACCGACCTCCGTATTTTTTTTTTCGGCTCATCTCACTTTGTTTATCGCCCGATTTCTCGGAGAGTCCCCCCTCTTTACGATCGGTCCGAGGCTTGGTTACGAATCTGCACCTTTGCACGGAAAAACAAAAAAAAAAAAAAAAAAAAAAAAAGTGGAAAATGCAGCAAATGAAGATCCACCGCTGCACAGCGTCAAGTTGCGCACTTGCCGGGGCCTCACGTGCGCGCCGGCTGTATACGTGATGCTATCCGTCCGCGAGATCGACGCGAACGCCGGGGATCGGCCGACGTCAGCCGCGGTGAAAAAGACAGGGCTACGGCATCGCCGTGATTTTTCAATGTCGTGCCGTCCAGCGAGAGCTCCCCCCCTCCGAATGGCAGATAGCGTTTTTGCGGCGCACCGGCACACGCGCGTGTATGTACACCCGAGAGAGATATAGGAGTGCGCTCACGTGAGTCCGTATACGTATAGGGGGCTTCCGTCGATCCGGTTATGCAATAGCTCCGATGCGTCGGCCGCCTGTGTTGCCTTTTTTTTCCTCCTCCGCCTCGCTGTCCATCCCCCTGTGCTTTTTAACGCCGCGCTCCAAAGGGCGTCTCCTCGAGCGAACGCGCAGGCAACGTTGTGGGGTGGAAGTGTACCTATGAACGAGCCAGTCGTTCCGAATAATGGATCCGGTGTTTTTTTTGTCGCCAACGTGCGTTTTCGCGAAAAGGACGCAGTGCTCGGGATTATTACTTTCCTACCATATATAATACGGATCGTATGGATGGAGGTGGTGTGTATAGTCACGGAGGAAGTGTTAATCGAGGGAGCGTTTCGCTCGGCACCCGCTGGGCTCTCCCATTTTCACCGAGTGAAATCGTATATGAATTTCTCGTTTTTGGATTATTTCTTCCCCAGTTTCTATGTGAGTGCAGCGCTAAACGTCGGAGATTAGGTATATATACATACCCATTACCCTGCGTGCGAGCGTCAATTTGCGGTCCGAGGCGTACGCGTGAGTACAGAGGGCCCGTGCAGGGTGTCACACTCGCCAAGGTAAACCTAATCTGCATCCCCTCTGCAAATGAGGCGTTTATACGAGTCGAGTCCCCGAAATCCGAGAAACTCGAGGTGAACCCCACGGGTGCACACGACACGGGAGCTAGGAGTGGGGGAGAAGGTGAAAAAAGAAAAAGAAAAAAAATTGAAAATAAGAGAGGAGGCAACGGGGCGTGCACGCGGTAATAATAGTCCGTCACGGGGAACAAGCCATCTGTGGCACGCTCGCGTGTGTACGTATATATGTGCCGTGGGGGGGCTACCCGCCCTGAAAAACACTCGCGTATGGGTATACATACGGGCCCCGGTATTACAATGACAATACCGAAATACGATCCGCCCGCGGGCATGGCCCACTGTTCGCGTCATTTATATGCCTACTTTGGCGCTGCCATATATATATACACATATTTATCTCCAAGTTCACACCGTGCGTGTAATGTGTGCCTGTTACCTTTTTTTCGACACCCCTCCCCTCCCTTCTTCATTTCTCGCTCTCCCTTGGCGTGCTTATAATGTGCGTGTCGGTCTGGCGGATGAGGGATAATATGCGTGTGTTATATCTACTTGAAAATTTTTCACTTCATATTTTTTGTCAATCCACAGTGGCAGACACTGGGTTAAGTATACGTATACTTTCGCGCGTCTGTGGATTTCACGGAAAGTTACATTTTCCGCACTGCCGTGTACAATATGTGTGAAAACCTGTCATTCGAGATTAATAAAAAAATTTGCCAATTTTTTGGTGGACCTTTTCCGATTAAACTAGTGTTATGTAGGTTTTATCCAAACAAAATTGAGTCCCAAGTCTAGCAAAAGAGCCTCCGATCACCCCCCCATGGAAGTTCATTCGGTTGAAAATCTCGATTTCTCTAAATGAAGCCACCAGTTATGGCGAGTAAAAAAAAAGTTATAAACAGCATCCCCACATGATACGAGGGCTCTCGACGATCCTGATGGATAATTAGCTCGAGAGCAGAAACCACGCGGCGATGGGAGGAGCCCCTGCACGAAAAAAAGGGGGGCCTCGCCAACAGCCTTTTTCGACCTCTCCTCTTGTTCGCAGCCGTGCGTAACACACGCAACGAGAGACCAAGAGGAACGAGAATAAAGAAAAGGTGGCGCGACGAGTAGCAGCGCGACCATTGTCGGCTAATAAGCAGGTGACAATGCCCCCTTCGTCGACTGGAACACTGCCCTTTTTTTCCCCTCCCGCCTCGTAGTTCCGGTTTCGTGAAAATCCGTTCGATGTACGAAACATTGGCGAATGGCACACGCATAAGTACCGAGTAATATTGATGGACTACTCACTTTTCAGCAGCGGCAGGTCGTTCATGAAACTCCCGTCGTCCACGTTTGTGTTCTGCAACAGCGAAATGGATTACGGTTAGGAAGGGCTATACATGATGTATAAACACATAGCTGCTAACGTAGAGGGCGGGGACTTTGCCGCGTTCCCGTGTAATCATTTGCAGTGGATGTACACGGTATATAATACACCCGAGTGCTCTTTAACGAACAAACACTGTGATTATGCTCGAGTTGTGATTCTATGTCATTTCGTTGGGGTTGTTGGGCGTCGTTGGAGTGCAAGAAGAAAAGAAAGGTAAATATATCATCAGTGCGTTTATTGTGTCGTTCCGATGGGGATTACTGAGGGGGTCACGAAACGGAAAAAGTCGGAAAAGTTTCGAGGTAGCCGAGTTTCCTTGAAAATTCTCAGAGATCATTCACGAGGTGTCCAACATACTTATTTATTATTATACTATAAGATGTAAGACAATCATTACTTGTTTAAATGTTAGTTTTTGCGGGCAATTCGATAACGAATTGTATGCATATATAAAAATGAAAAATGCGTTCATTAATATTGTAAAAATTTGTATCAATTTTGCTTTTATTGAGATAACGAAACTAACGAAAAACCGGTGTCTATAACTTAAGTGAAAATGTCTTCTCAGTCAAATTGACATTTTCTTACGAGTTTAAAACTTGTTGCTTCAAACAGCAAAACATGTATTACATGATAGTGATAATTAGTGTTAAAGAAGGTGAAACGGGTTCAAGTGAAAAAAAAAGTATTACTTAATATTATAGGTAAACGAGAAATGAGTAAGGGCTTTTGTCGGAAAAAACAACAATATTTTTCCCAACTATGTCAGTTGATCGAAAAGTTTATGTATAAAAACTATAGGCTCTCCAATTTTTTTCGACATCAAATATTATAAATACACCGAAGGTACAAAAAATTACTAGGATCAGTGACGCCTACATCAAACAAATCTCGCGTAGCCCATGAAAAAAAAAAAAAAAAAAAAAAAACTCGCCTACAGAACCGATCGGTTAACAACGACAACCAACACAAGAAAAGGAAGAAGAAGAGTTGGCGATTACGTACATCGTCGCTCACCTGGGGGTCGTCAACGAGACTTGTGTGCAGCACCAGGTCAGTCTGGTCGAGCCCCGGAGGTGGCAGCAGTGCGTCCGGGCGCCTCACCGCGCCGTAATCGACGTTCCGTCCGCCGTTACCACCGCCACCCCCGCCGCCTCCTCCGCCACTGTTCCGGCCGCCGTCGTACGGAAACGACGCGTGCATGTTTGTCTGGAAAACAAGAAAAAAAAAAAATAAATTGTAAGTTATATAATTTGTTTTGTCAATCATATTATTTTAGTCGCATTATTATGTTTTGGAAATCGTATGAATTGATTTTTTGTCGCTTACGAGTGTTGCGGGTAATATACGAAATGAAAATGGATCGAAATTCGATGAAAAAGTTACTTGGTACCAAGGGGCTATGAAGAATTTAAAAGCGAGTTACACTTCCCTTGACTCATGGCTGGGGAAGTTTTTTCGGCATGGGTAATCTTTTACAGGACATTCAGCCAATAAAAATGCTATTAGCTAAGGAAAACTAGTTGTAAGACAAAATGTCTCATCAACCTACATGATTTATTTTAATTGCATCGACCAATCACGGAAGCCATTTTCACGTAATAATCGCGTTAAAATTTCGTGCATTTTCACTTTATTTTTATAACACCTTAGTGGCACCTATCTCGTCTCATAGTTATTCGACTCTACAATATTTTAATCGAGTGACCCAGTCCTGCGAGCTTTATTTATTTATTTTTTTTACGTATTCTTGCATAACTCATCTACGTGGTAGTAAATACTAGCCTACACTCACGTAACGTGAGATGTAAAATTTCGAAATCGCAAAAAGCGAGCTAAGACGACACTTTCTACCATTTGGGACTTTTTAATGAGAAGTATGAATTTTCCCGGCTAAAAGGAAAGTCAAGGCACTTGTGCTGTAAAAATACGCACACGCGTAGGAGTTGTTAATCTTCAAAAAGGCGCCATTCGTTACAACGCACAGGTGATGAATAATTAATTAAAGATAAAGAAAAAAAGGACTCGCGCGAAGCTCCAACGATGTCTCCCCCCTCCCCTCGTCTCGAGCTGGTAATGTAAGCAACATAACGACGAATTAAAGTGCTGTTTCTCGCGCGGCGTCGGAATTCCATAGTTCGCGGGGATTAACTTTCCTCGACTATGAAACGCAAAATTTTATTACCATCCCGAATAACTTTGCTTCACCCTGTAAAGATGCTTATTTATGCCTCGGTGAATTCAATTTTAGCGCCTCCATAAATTTTCCGACACAAATAGAGATTTTTCCCTCTTCTTTTTCTCCCTCCCTGCATTTATACTCGCGTCCCGCTTGTCTCGCTAATAAGCCACGCCACTCGATTCTCGATTAACCAAAAAGTAATTAATTTCACGTGTATTCCGCACTTTCCATCAGTCGGTGGTTCAGCCACGTGAATTTGCGAAATGAAAATACCGCCCATTCAAAAGCTCATCGCGATAAGCCGAACTTAAGCCGCTAAACGGAAGAAAAATCACTTTGGCCATTCGGCGTGCATTTATCTCATCTTGGCATCAGCTTCGCCAAAGACTTTGAAACCACGTGCGCCACAAAGTAAGCTCATTACTATGAAAATCCAAAGATTCCAGTGACGACCAAGCCACGAGTCAGCGACGTATGACAATCCGTCGTGCTGACATTTTCGTATTCCGGGCGACGACGGCGCGTAAACAATGAAAACGCAGAGCTATGCGCCCGGCAATGAAGCTGTGGAATACCGATTTCGCGTGCCACCTCGGCGATGTCTTGTTTTCGTAAAAGTTGGCTGCGAATGGGTGTACATTGTTGGGGAATCAACGCCATCGCTAAAGCTGACTCTGTCAGGGGATGATCGACTATAAAGTTGAGGATGCACAAAGTGCTGGATGAGAACATACAAACTAGCACTTTGGTGCATCGATCGACGAGATCCGTCTGGCGAAAAATTACATTAAAATGATCGGGAGATCACCTTTTAGAGTGGCCGAGTGGCACGGACCGGAATGGCGATTCTTGCGTATACGTTTAGTTTTTCCGCCTTTCTCATTTCAATACAAAAGAGTGCAGCGCAACATTCAAGTTAGAGTACCGAAAGAATATGACGTATTAAGGGGCGGGTGGGGTTATTGTCTATTAAATAAAATGCACTGTCGACCTCTGGCTGTGATTTCTTCTTCGGTACTCTCTCATTGAGTGACTGTTAAAAAGATGTTGTTGATGTTGGTTAAAAAAGACGTTCAATATGCAACCAACTACAATGACTAAGAGTCACATTTGATTTGTCAGCAATAAATTTTCTCTTCATTAGATATTTTTCTAAACATGTTTCTTTGATTGCGCAAAGCTGATTTTGTCAATTACAGTGACACTATCCATCTGTACCCATGTAAAAACAAAAAAAAAAATGTTTTCCGTCTCATTGCGTGATTCTTATTGTGCCCGGAGGATTACAGAGTCGTGTAAAACTATCAAGTAGAGCATTGTCTGTTTCATCATATGTATAAAAATGTTCTTTAAACTATTGATGTGTGATCTACGGGTGTTATCGCCCCCCTTTTGTGTGCTGTAATAGTTGCTTATCGAATGCTTTGGAAATTTTTTTTTCCCAGTAAAACAATCACTTCATTGTTATAACTCCTCTGACGCATCAAGCGATTAGGCACGAGTGACTCGGTCGCTTAAAAAATGATTTAAGACATTTGGAAGATATAAAGGAAAGAAAAATAAAAATTAGGAAAGCCCAAAGCATGATACCGTTTGGATGATTGTTATTTAAAACTTTTCTTTGTAAAAATAAGTTCCCATATTCTCGTAAAGCAAGGGAAAACAAGAGAAAACACCAAAACCAAGAAGACACCCACAAGCTACGACGTGAAACCCCTTTCCTACTTCACTTGTTACAAACGCCCATCAGCAGTGCCTCGAAATGTCTCGCTTGTACACCGAGCACTCGAAGGCCGGAAGGGCAAACAGCATCTTTGATCCTCACAGTGGGTTCACTCGAATGGGAGATGCTCACTCGAGTACTCCCGCGATTCATGACAAAGGCAGGGGCCTCTTCATTCGACGCACTCTTTCACTCTGAGATTTGGTGCAGGGATAATTCGTTGAGAGTCAATCATGGGGATGGAATGTCGCTTTTTGTTGCCAGTATATATAAGGTGCGACCGGAACAGTGGAATCGACGCCTCGGGCAGACAAAGAGTCTCGTTGGGTTTGAACGAGACCATCTGTACGTTAAACTTGCTCCACATTTGTCTACTCGCGCGAAATACGTCTCCGCGGCATAAAAATATAGTCCAGGGGTCTTATTGCGTGCTTCGATATGCGCAATAGCTTTCGAGATTTACCGTCACACCACCAACCTTATGACGAAAATGTAATAGAAAGTTAACTTTTTGATGTTCAAAGGTATATTATGACAGTAAATCTCGAAAGCTATTGCGCATATCGAAGAACTCAATAAGACCCCAGGACCACGAGGTCAGATGATCCTGTCACGATAGGAAAATAGCGTTTCTTGGGATCAGATTCAACGTTAGAGTAAGTAGATGGCCGTTCATGTACAAGGATTTTTACTCACAGCTGCTCGATCTGATGACGAGTTTCATCGATAAATGAGAATTGCCATGAGTGCAGATAAACACGAGTCAAATGGTTGGTTCATCAAATAAGGGAGAAGAGCGAACGAAAACCACTATGAAACTTCCACGGACAGTAGTTTTGTCGGGGCAGATATTACCATGAACCTCAAATCACGGGCCGTTGTCAGTTGAACCTTAAAGAACCTTGAACCTTGAAAAAAGTGCGTAATATACGGTTCCTTTAAGTATTGGTTTTATATAGAAATTTGGCTTCAGGTGATCAAGAGTAAACTGTTCCAAAACGATCGCATATCACTGCCAACCGGCGATTGTAGACTGTTAGCGTTTGACTATTGGTACATATAAAAAAAATTATACTGTTTGAGTATAATATTGAGAAAAATAAAATTTTTAGAAGCAGAGACAAAGAGATCTGTGTAATGACGAATCCAATTGGAGCATCGACGATGTGCAAAATTTATATTTACAGTATTTAGCATTTTTTTTTTTTTTTTTTTTTTTTTTTTTTTGTAAAATATTTGTACTTGTACCTGCCACGTATAGAATTAAACGGTTCCGAAGCCAGTAAGTCAACTGAAAGTTCTCCCTATGTGCACTGATGATGAGCTTGTGATGTGCGCTGTTGATCAGTAATTTTCGACAGAATTAGAAAGTTTGTGCGCTTTTGACTGTCGCCGCGTGCGAGGCCTTAGGTTTCTCGAAACGACGGGAAAGCCCCCCTCGGTCGCATACCAACTATCTCATCGTTGGACCGAGCAATGTCCGCCTTGCAGTCTCAATCCCGCGAGTATGAGATGCATCCGAGTTGTACGTACATGCATAAGTACCGATGTGGGCCTGCAGCGCGTATAAACAACAGCGGCACCGTTATCGATCCTCGAGGCAACGCGCGCATAAAATGACTCACTATATTTTGTACAACAGTCAACGCCAATCCAACGCTAATCGAAGACTTGGAATAATGGTGTGAAGCAAGTGTCTTGGGATGCATATACTTTAATATATACTCGTGTGTTATCTTTTGATTTCAACCATTATTTTTATTTTTTTTTTTTTCTTACGACTGAAATCAAGCGCGATGATTTATATCGAATCGCGTTGACTCCACTCTTTTTCGCGTGTCCGTAACTAATGGAGTATTTCGGCGTTTAAGAAAAAAGTGTACTTTCAAACGAGGCGATCCTCCGTGTGGGACAGGCTGAGCGTTGAACCGCGCCAAAGTATATTATACGCGCATTTATGTAATTAATACAAGGTAGTATGCGGCTCGCGAGAGAGTAATTTACACAAACGTAAGCTCGCGCGTAGGGTTCTCGCTAGGTGCCGGTCGGATCATAATTTCACGGACGTTATCTGCCTCCGTGCGGTTGCTTTGGGCCTCGAATCCGATAAGCCGCATTCCTGCTCGATCGAGAAATTTATGCAGCTGAGCGCCGTGTGTAATTACTGTTGATTAAATTACGATTGTATGGTACGGAGATTTTGGGATAAATAAACCATTTGCAGTTTTGTTTTCCGGACTCTCTCGTTTGTCGCCATCGTTTTTATAAGGTGTATTCTTGTGTTTTTTGCTCACCTGGGACTTT